AAAAGAGGCTTCAGAGAGATCTCTAGCCCTTTCACCATGTAAAGTTATGAAAAGATGTCTGGGACCCAGAAGCATTGACTTTACCTGACAACGCTGGCACTCTGATCTCAGACTTTTGGCCTCCAAACTGTGAAAAATAACTGTGTTTTCATAAGCTACCCAGTCGGTGATATTTTGTTACAGTAGCCTGAATGGACCAAGATAGCTCTAATATTTCTTTTGCGGATTCCTTTGGGTTTCTACATATAAGATCTTGTCATTTGAACATACAAGTAGTTTTAAGTAATAATATAATGGGGTAACTCTTCAAATCGGTCTCTCTCCTGCTCCCCAGGATTTGCTGTTGTCAGTGTTTGATGTTTCTTTGTTTAGTGACTTTTATGAATTAATTCAGTAAAGTCTGTATTTTTTGTTGTGTCTTGCCACTGGAGTCTCTGCTTGGTTAGTTTCGTGGTCAGTGAATGGTTGAACAGTGATTTCCTTAAACACTTGGAACCGATAAATCTATCAGTCTTTGCCAATGGGTTCTGTATAAATGTTGGGGCACAGCATCAATATTCAGACAGGCAGTAGACAACTGACTTCTCGCTTATGCAGAGCCTCATGATCATCCTGAGATAAGAGTCTACAGTCTCTTTGCATTCTTCCTGAGCATGTAGAAAGCCCTGGGCTTGTACACAACTCCACACCTGCATTTGGCCTTCTAGACTCCCAGTACTGTGTTGGAGCTTTTCAAAGGCCGAAGGAAATCTCATTCCCTCCGTTAAGCTTTTTGTTCAGCCTTCTGTTTGCCCCAAGTGCTATCCTCTACCTCAAGCAGCCACAAAAATAATAAATTGCCTCTAATTGTTTTCAACAAAGCCTTTCACACTGGGCAGCTTCCAGTCGGGTCAAATAAAGATAGCCTTGCAAGGGGGGTTTCCAGGACCTGACAGACAAGTCAAATAATAACAGTTCTCTGGGGATTCAGCTTTGAAAGAACTCCAATCCCATTCTACCCCCCTCCAGTGGCTGCTCGACTGCTGGTTTTCACAATAATTGCAGACTCTTGGTTTTTAAGTCTTCTATGAAACTGGAGAGGAAGGATGAGAACAGGGCAAATTACAATGTCATAGTGTTCACTGCTCTTACAGAGATTCATCCTTCTTTCTAAAATAAATGTCCCCCAGACTGCCGCAGGCCTGAAGTTAATTTTCAAAGTTCTAAAAAGTTGATTCTGGTTAGTTTTGCCAGTTTTTCATTGGTTTTATGGAGGAGAGAATTTTCAGAGCTCCTCACTACATTTTTGCTGATATCCTACCATGTACTTTTTTTTAAATCTAGAATGCATTTCTGTATCCAGTCCATTACCCTGTTCAGATGTTGCCTCTTAGAGGTGGGTGTGGCTTTTCTGAGGACACTGTCTCCTTGGTGATTGCTGCCATCTTTCCCCTCCAAGTCCAAGGAGCCCATAACAAAAAGAGAACTGGCAAAGAGCCTTTAAGTGCTTTGGAGCTAGGGCTCCTGATGATGCCAACTGCAACCTCAGGGTAATCATAGTCATTAAATGTGAATAATTAAGAGTTGGATCTATTTGCAGAGTTCTGTGTTCCGTCCTTAAAAGAATAAACTGATATAAGTTGAGAATATCACAATTTTGCACAGTGTTTAAGGGCACACGTGTTGCAGTGAAACCCTACGAGTTCACTGCCTCCTAGCAGTGTATGTAATGGTATACATACAATATATGAAGATTGTGGGGAACAACTCAAAAAGAATTCTTAGCACAGTGTCTGGCCTAAGCACTCCATACGTAGTTTCCGGGGTTTTTATCACCATTGTCAGGGCACCAATACCTAGTAGAAATCCTGTACTATATGTCCAAGTAGGAAGGGACCTCAGAAATCTACTTCAATTGCATACCCAGGACAAGAACTCACTTTACCTCACATCCCTACTAAGTGACATCTAGCATGTGTTTTCATACTTCCAAGCACAGGGAGTTCACCATTTTAAAGGCAGCTCATTGCATTGATGAATTACTCTCATTATTATCTTCCTTCTAGTGAGCCCCAAATCTTTTTTCCATTTTTCCCTTTAACACCTCAAAATAAAGCCATTATCATTTCTGCATGGCAACTCTTCCATTACTGAAAACAAAGCCCTTTCCAGCTCTTGTTTCTAGCTCTGGGGAAGAGGCTGGTATTTTCCATTGCATACCAACTTTCCCCCCACCTCTAACTGCCATGGCCTGAGGTGTCCTACTGAAATTATAAAAGTCTAGGTGGAAGAACTAAATTTCCTTTGGAATCACAAGAGATCCAATGATCTCCTTTCTACCTTCCTTCCTATGACAAGTGAGCCCCTGTTCATCCTACCCTGTAAACACTACCAGTTAAACACACACAGACACACACACACACACACACACACACACACACACACACACAGAAGAGTTTCAATTTATTGGTTGCTCTTTGGGAAAGGTTATGTAGAACATAATTGGGATCAAAATCAAATTCTAGTTTCAAATTCATAAAACTTTGCTTTAAACCAAATTAGTTTTTATGAGACCATCCAATCCCCTCTCCTCCTCAAACATAGCAAAGTAATTCAGTCATAGTCCATATAATCCTCTGTTGTTTTTAGAAGATTGAAGCACACACTATACATAATGCAGTTGATATTAAATATCTTGAGAATGACAAATCAATAGAACTACCTCCACTCTTAAGCACTGACCGGTCATTTATACATGTTCTGCACATACATTTTTCATTTTAGATCTTCTCCCTTAAAAGGACTTCTGAACTAGTCATTATTATCAGCTATTTGCATACACACATCATAAGTCTTCCAAAATAACATTTAAAATCTTTCTTAATATTGCTTTAGAAATGTTAACCTTTAAGGAACATTCAATTAAAAAACAAAAACAAAAACACAAAAGCTCAGGTCCTGACTCTGTTGCACATGTTCAGATGTGTCAAGATTTTATTGTTTCCCTCTGACCTGATTAAAAAAAAAACCTCTAACAACATACAATGTGTCAGTTTCATCTTTGCTTAACTCAGAGAAAAGTCAAATAAAGGAGAAAAAAATGCTCGAAATCACAGTGACCAAAGGATTTGAATTAATAATTACATTAAATAACCATAACTTTTTGTTTAAGTATTCACATTCCACACAGTGGAAATTATCTTTTCCCCCAGATTTTTCACTTGTATTTGTAACTTTGAAGAATTACAATAACAAAAAAAAAAAAAAAAAAAAAACAACTTACAGACTTGCAGGACATGTGTTTCTCTCTTTTAATGCCAAGCACAAAGCGTACATCATAAAATTCATATTTGGTGTTTGGCATTATTTGAATAGGAAAGATTGAGATCACAAATATCTTGCCATAAAAAAATATTCTACTATAGTAATGAAAAAAACATATTTCTTCATCGGTGACTCCAACACAATATGTAACAGATATGGCACTTTCAATAAATGTTGGAAGACATACCATACTTTGCTAGTCTTAATATAGGCACAGTCAGAAAAGCAGACATCTCCCTCTTTGGCCAGCACTGTTTTTTTTTTCAGGGTAGTTATGCTGCTGATTATCCCAGTGAAGTTAATTTTGAGGAAATTCTCTTTACTTAAGCCAAATCCGACTTACATGCAAGACCGTGGTACAAGCTACTAAAAGAAATTGCTGCTGCCAACTTAAGTCATCTCTTTTTAACAGAATTGCATGCTTGTGGCAGAGTTAAAACAACCAGAGAAATTCAGTGTCTGCCGATTCTGAATGTCATTTTTCCTCTGTCGTGTGGTTTTTACATGTTCAGCTCCTTCCCCTTTCTTTTCCTCTCCCCCGCCCTCAAAATTCTGGCTTAGTATTTGTGTGCTTAATTAAATCCATTCTGTGCTTTATTGCTGGAGGATGTGGAAGATAGAAGGATTTAGGGCAGGGGCACAGCCCGTGTGTTTGAACAAATTTGCCTGGTGTGGAATCATCAGTAGTGAGTTTAAAAGTTTCAAAATCAGACCCAATATTTTGAGCGTTCAAGATTAACTTCTGCCTCAAAGTATGGTTCCCGCTTAGTTGTCAGATGGGAGAGTGCTGCATCAAAAAAATAAAATACCACAAGCCTCTTTAGTGCAATGCTGGAGCTTCGCTGGGCAAATAAAATGCTAGTCAATGGTTGCCAAATTACACATGACTTGACTAATGGGGATGAGATGGTACAAGGCAAAACAAGTGTTTGGGGGGTGGGGATGGGTTTACATAGAAAACCTCAGGCTTGAAAAGAACAGGTTAGCCAAATCCAAACCGTAGTTAAGGTCTACCCACCCTGTACTTCGGCCATTAGATAATCCCTACCCAGGTTTAATCAGAGGGGGGGTCTACTAGTATGTTCTGAATGGTTCCAATGTTAGACGAATCCCACCACCAGTAGAGACATGGCTAATGCACCACCCAAATGCTCTTTCTTAATTGGGGTTTCGCATTAGACCCCGAGAAAGCAAAGGAAGAAGAGGAGGACACATCCCTTCTATCTCCTCCCCGGCATTAAATTACTCCTTAGCCAGAGGCAGTCTCCTTTATTTCCTTCTTTTCCTCTGCTCTCCAGCTCAATCTCCTACCAATGGCTAAAACATAAAGACCCAAAATCTACCTCTAGCTAAAACGGAGCAGGCCCTAAACTCTCCCCTCTTACCTTGGTTCTTCACTGCCAGGTACACTTAGCAGAAGCAAAATCTTTAGAATACAGGGTTGTGGCTCTCAGAAGAATTATACAGAAATAATGGACTGGGAAAGAGGTGATTACCACCAAGCAAAAGGAAAGATACTAGGACCTTCTCCTTATGAGGCGTTTGTTTTCTTCCTATCCCTGC